GTAAAAAGGTTTCAGTTTTGTTGCCAGAAAAAAAGTGGAAACACCCTTATTATTATTATTACATTTTGGTACTGGCAAAGGAGGTCTAATGATGTAGATGCTCACCCCGAGCCCTCATTACTTTGATAGTGCATTGTCTTTGAGCTGTGTAAACGCCTTCTGGCGTCATCTGGTCGAGCACCAATTGGGTCGAGGCTCAAAAGAAAGCCGTCCCTTGGTGGTGGACCAATCAGTTTCAAGAACAATGCATCGTGTATACTATCATAGTGTGTGTTTTTGGTTGCATTTTGACCGCAGGTATTGTGGTTAATGCAGTAAATATGAATCCTTGTTAAAAAGGTCTCAGTTTTGTTCCCAGACAAAAAAGGGAAAAACCCCTATTATTATATTGGTTTCAGTTATTGTTGCCAGACAAAAGGCGGGGAAAATTTCCCCTATTATTACATTTTGCTACTGGCAAAGGAGGCCTCATGATGTCAGTGGAGCTTGTTGGACGAAAGTGTGCAGGTCGCAGATCAGAGGAAGCCGTCACCAACCTTTTCGCAGCTTCTTCACCCGCCAAGATGGGGCTCTGCTTCTGCCACAATGTGACCAGTCCGCTCGAGGCAATCGCAATCGCCTGTAACCGGAACGGGTGGCGCCTCTTCATTGACAGCATGCCACCCGTGCTCCGTCATGGCAACAAGTACCCGTCCCTTGCCCCTGGCTCACTCGGTGCACCCTCGAAGGGGATCACAACGGCATCGAGACCTTGCTTGGACGCCTCGCGAGTATGGGGAGCACGGCTGGGAGGGTCATCGGAGACTTCAAAATGGCCGCATCCCTGATGGGTCTCCAGGGCGGGTTTCGCCAAGTTCCCCTGCTCGCCTCGCCTTCGGGACAGCGGGGACACCAAGGCGCACTACCCCAGGCGGTACCGGCCACGCTGTGGACCGAAGTTCTCTCTGGGGAGGAGGAACAACGTCAAGCGGAAGCCGCTGGTGGACCCCCGGAAGGTGCTGGTCGGCGGACTTCAAGTTACCTTCAAGACTTCTTCCCGACGCTGTCCGAGGCAAAGGTCAAAGCCGGTGCCTTGGTCGTAGCGCAGATAAAGACGATCCTGGAGTGCAATGAGTTCTCCGAGAAGCTCGCTCGTAAGGAGAGAGCTGCTTTGAACAGCTTCGTCGCAGCGGTTCGTGGCTGCCTGGGCAATCGCAAGTTCGAAAACTGCGTGGCGCCGGTTGTGACCCTGGTGAAGAACTACGGCACAATGGGCTCTAGGATGTCCCTCAAAGTCCACGTCCTTGATGCTCATCTTGATCAAATTCAAGGAGAACGCGGGAGCGTACTCGGAGGAGCAAGGCGAGCGCCTCCACCAGGATACGCTGGACTTTGAACGCCGCTACCCAAGGGCAGCGGAACGAGAACACAATGGGAGACTACATTTGGGGGCTGATTCGTGAACGTGATTTTCAGTATAATCGCGAATCTCGAAAAAGCTGCTCGCTTCTAAATATTTTGTCGTCATTTATGCGTGACTTTAGGATGAATACGTGTTAATTTTGATTCGTAAGTTGTTATTTTCTGGCTTTAGGTGAACGGAAAGACACACATTCGCCCGTTTTCTCATTGAAAAGAGGTACAATTCAAAATATCACTGTCCTGGTCACAAAAGCAAAGTTTGTGGGTCATAATAATAGCCGCTTCCTGTACTTTTGAGGCATCAACAATTAGAAAATAACACTTTCTACAGTGTTATGAGCCAAAGGGTGGGGTTTATTGGCAACTGTTGGAACACACGTACATATATATAACTGGGTGTGTGTGTGGGTGTGTGTGTGGGTGTGTGTGGGTGTGTGTGTGGTTGTGTGTGGGTGTGTAGGTGTGTGTATATTTTTATGTCCGTCTGCTACAGCAGAGGTGTAGGGAATTCCAACAAGACCTACATCTCTGCTTTATTGACCTGGTCAAGGCCTATGATACCATCAGTAGGCCTGGGCTCTTGGTTGTTCTTCGTGCTTTCGGAGTCCCTGGCCCTCTGCTCACCATCATTAAGGACCTTCTTGATGGTGAGCGGGCCCGGGTAAAACTACGTGGCCGGGAGTCAGAGCCATTCCCTGTACACCTTGGGGTGCGACAGGGATGTCCTCTGGCTCCCACATTATTTAACATCTATTTCAACCACGTAGTTCGTGAAGCCTTAAATAGCTGTACCGGGGGAATCTCCATTTGGTACAGATGTAGTGGTCGATTTGACGCGGACAACTTTCTTGTTTTCTCCGACACCACTTTTATTACAACTCTTCACATTACGTCCGTGACTCCGTCAGTCCTCTTAGCCGCAGCTCGCTCGCGAGCGCTCCACCCGTCTCGCTCACTCCGCTTCCTCCCCTATCCCTCACTGTCACTCTGCGTCGTCCCTGTCTCCCTCCGTCGCTCGATGTCTCTGTCACTCGCTGTCTCTGTCTCACGCTGTATCTCTGTCTCTCTCCCGCTGTCTCTGTCTCTCTCCCGCTGTATCTCTGTCTCGCTCCGTCGCTCACTATCCCTGTCTCCCTCCGTCACTCGATGTCTCTGTCTCTCGCTGTATCTCTGTCTCTCTCCCGCTTTCTCTGTCTCTCTCCCGCTGTATCTCTGTCTCTCTCCGTCGCTCACTATCCCTGTCTCCCTCCGTCACTCGATGTCTATGTCTCTCGCTGTATCTCTGTCTCTCTCCCGGTGTCTTTGTCTCTCTCTGTCTCTGTCTCTTGCTGTATCTCTGTCTCTCGCTGTATCTCTGTCTCACGCTGTCTCTGTCTCTGTCTCACGCTTTGTCTCACGCTGTGTCTCTGCTCGTCTCTGCTTCTGCCTCTCTCTCTCTGTCTCTCTCTGCTTCTCTCTGTTTGTCTCTGTCTCCGGTGTCTTCGCTCCGGTTCTCCCCGACCTGCTTCGCTCCAGTCCCAGCGACAACTCAACTCCCCTCGTTCTTCCCGTCCCCCCGAATATATCCCCGTTCTCATTACCAGCCAATGGATTAGGCCTCGTGCCACCGACGCCCCGCGTCCCCCTCCCCCCCCCCCCGCACCTGTTACTTGCCCCCCTCTATTCCCAGACATCCCGGCGCCACTCCGCCCTTGACAACAACTCCAGCCAATCACAGCCATACATCGCTCCCCGGCTTAATTGGCCCGTCATTACCGCACAGTTAACCCACCGCCGCACCTGGCCGGCCCCTTCGTTGAGACCACTGTCCATAACTCGCGCGTCTTTACCATTCCCACCCCCCCCCCCCCCCCCCCCTGTATGCGCGTGTTAATCCACTACACACTTATTGATGGGAGGCTGATCGATGCCCGGGTGCGGACAAGGGATGGCTCCCTATTGCTCAAACATGTTAAGTATGCTGATGATTTGGTAATAGCTGCTCAGTCAGAGGAGGAGTTGGAGACGCTGCTGCTGAGACTGCAGTGTGCCACTAAGAGGTGTGGGGCCTTACCATCAGCCCCACCAAAACTAAGCACCTGCCTGGGTATTTAGTACCATCGGACACTCCACCCCCACAACTCCCAATCGGTGATGGGGCAGTTGTGGAGAGAGTGGAGAGTTTCCCATACCTGGGCAGTATGCTTATGACCGGCTCCAGTTTAACAGCAGAGGTCTCACTCCGAATCAGTCGAGCGGCAATATCTTTTCATCGGTTGCGTAACGCTGTGTGGAAGCTACCTGGTCTGTCGCTCCGCACTAAGCTTCAGGTCTTCTCGGCCACGGTCATTCCCTCCCTTCTCTATGCTTGCGAAACGTGGACCACCCTAATGGAACATCTTCGCCGGTTAGAAACATTTAGTCTGGCCTGCCTACGATCCATCCTGGGTTTAACCAGGCTGGATTGTGTGAGCTCACAAATCCTTGAAAGATCTGGGCAAGGTCCCATCGGTGAGCACCTCCGGCAGGCAAGGCTGCGTTGGCTGGGTCATGTAGCCCGCATGCCCAGCCACCGCATGCCGAAACAGCTTTTGTTCGGCCGGATCGAGGGGGCTAAACGGGCGCGGCACTGGCTAGAGAAGAGATGGAGTGACGTGGTACAGGACTTGCTGATGACTGGTACCAGCGGTGTCAAGATCAGCCTCTGTGGAGGAGGCTCGTGAAGGACGCTACTGGGCAGTTGGAGGCAGTCGCCCTCCAACAACAACGGAGGGCGGAGGAGCGACACTCACAACAACGAGCGGAGCGCTGGGTGGCTAAAGCACAGCAGGTTGGCACAGTAGGGGGCACAGGTGGTGCATCAGCTAGCCATCTCAGTCATCTCAGTCAGTCGACCCGTGGCACCTGGGTCTGCCCAGTGACCTCCTGCCAGCGGGCGTTCGACACTTCACGTGGCCTCACGGTGCACATAGCCTGGCATAAGCGTCGTGGTGACGTCACCGCCACTTAGTGGCGAATGGCGGTTGTTGTTGTTGTTGTGTGTGGGTGTGTGTGGGTGTGTGTAGGTGTGTGTGTGTAGGTGTGTGTGTGGGAATGTGTGGGTGTGTGTGTAGGTGTGTGTGTAGGTGTGTGTGTGTGGGTGTGTGTGGGTGTGTGTGTGTAGGTGTGTGTGTGTGGGTGTGTGTGGGTGTGTGTGTAGGTGTGTGTGTGTGGGTGTGTGTGTGTGTGTATGTGTGTGGGTGTGTGGGTGTGTGTGTGTAGGTGTGTGTGTGGGTGTGTGTGTGGGTGTGTGTGGGTGTGTAGGTGTGTGTGTGTGGGTGTGTGTGTGTAGGTGTGTGTGTGTGGGTTTGTGTGTCTCCGTGCTTGTCTCTGTGTCACCGTACGTGTCTCCGTGTGTCTCCGTGTGTCTCCATGCGTGTCTCCGTGCGTGTCTCCGTGCTTGTCTCTTTGTCTCCGTGTCCCCGTGTCCCCGTGTCTCCATGCGTGTTTCCGTGTGTGTCTCCGTGTGTGTCTCTGTGTGTGTAACCGTGCGTGTCTCCGTGTTACCGTGTGTGTCTCCGTGCGTGTCTCCGTGTCCCCGTGTCCCCGTGTCTCCGTGCGTGCCGTTCGTCGCTTTGCAGAGCCCCAGAATCCGTTGCTGACCGTCCAGCAGATTATTGAGGATCCCTTCCCAGGGCTGCCATTCTCGCCGCACCTCCACACTCACGAGGGCTGCCTGCAAGGTCAGGAGATGTTGACTACCTCGCCTGGTCTACAGGAGGTCGTGGGTTCAATCATGTCCCTGAGAGATGTTAACTACCTCGTCTGGTCTACAGGAGATCGTGGGTTCAATCATGTCCCTGAGAGATGTTGACTACCTCGCCTGGTATACAGGAGGTCGTGGGTTCAATCATGTCCCTGAGAGATGTTGACTACCTCGCCTGGTCTACAGGAGGTCGTGGGTTCAATCATGTCCCTGAGAGATGTTGACTACCTCGCCTGGTCTACAGGATGTCGTGGGTTCAATCATGTCCCTGAGAGATGTTGACTACCTCGCCTGGTCTACAGGAGGTCGTGGGTTCAATCATGTCCCTGAGAGATGTTGACTACCTCGTCTGGTCTACAGGAGGTCGTGGGTTCGATCCCAACCCCTGTCGCTGTGGTGGCTATGAGATGTTGACTACCTCGCCTGGTCTACAGGAGGTCGTGGGGTTCGATCCCGACCCCACGGTTGACTAGGAGATGTTGACTACCTCGCCTGGTCTACAGGAGGTCGTGGGTTCGATCCCGACCGCACGGTTGACTAGGAGATTTTGACTACCTCGCGTGGTCTACAGGAGGTCGTGGGTTCGATCCCAACCCCTGTCGCTGTGGTGGCTATGAGATGTTGACTACCTCGCCTGGTCTACAGGAGGTCGTGGGGTTCGATCCCGACCCCACGGTTGACTAGGAGATGTTGACTACCTCGCCTGGTCTACAGGAGGTTGTGGGTTCGATCCCGACCCCAGGGTTGACTAGGAGATGTTGACTACCTCGCCGGGTCTACAGGAGGTCATGGGTTCGATCCCGACCCCAGGGTTGACTAGGAGATGTTGACTACCTCGCCTGGTCTACAGGAGGTCGTGGGTTCGATCATGTCCCTGAGAGATGTTAACTACCTTGCCTAGTTTACAGGAGGTCGTGGGTTCGATCCCGACCCCACGGTTGACTAGGAGATGTTGACTACCTCGCCTGGTCTACAGGAGGTCGTGGGTTCGATCCCGACCCCACGGCTGGCTACGAGATGTTGACTACCTCGCCTGGTCTACAGGAGGTCGTGGGTTCGATCCCAACCCCTCGGTTGACTAGGAGATGTTGACTACCTCGCCTGGTCTACAGGAGGTCGTGGGTTCGATCCCGACCCCTCGGTTGACTAGGAGATGTTGACTACCTCGCCTGGTCTACAGGAGGTCGTGGGTTCGATCCCGACCCCTCGGTTGACTAGATGTTGACTACCTCGCCTGGTCTACAGGAGGTCGTGGGTTCGATCCCGACCCCTCGGTTGACTAGGAGATGTTGACTACCTCGCCTGGTCTACAGGAGGTCGTGGGTTCGATCCCGACCGCACGGTTGACTAGGAGATGTTAACTACCTCGCCTGGACTCCAGGAGGTCGTGGGTTCGATCCCGACCCCACGGTTGACTAGGAGATGTTGACTACCTCGCCTGGTCTACAGGAGGTCATGGGTTCAATCCCGACCCCACGGTTGGCTAGGAGATGTTGACTACCTCGCCAGGTCTACAGGAGGTCGTGGGTTCGATCCCAACCCCACGGTTGACCAGGAGATGTTGACTACCTCGCCTTGTCTACAGGTCGTGGGTTTGATCCCGACCCCTGTCGCCGTGGTGGCTAGGAGATGTTAACTACCTCGCCAGGTGTCCAGGAGGTCGTGGGTTCGATCCCGACCCTGACTGATTGGTTCAATACCAGAGACAGCTTTCTCGCGACCCTAGTCTCAAACGGTGTGACACCAGAGGACGCCAAAAGTCGTACGAAAAAACGGGAACAACCTATTCTCGTATTTTGGGACTGGCAAAGGAGGTCCTATTAATTGGTAACTAGTTACAGCGCTGTGTCGGCTGTGTGTTCGAGAGCAAATCCCACCGCTGCGACGTTTACAATTTGAATAGCCCTGCCGTTTCACCAGCAACTCAGCATCATCAGGTGGACAGCCACAGACTATTGGGGCAAGTGCTGTTAGTAGCGAGTAGCAGCAGCACCTATACAAAGACAAAGATCCCCCGTGTAGCCTCTAGCAGGGCTGTAGGGGCAAGTGCTGTTAGTAGCGAGTAGCAGCAGCACCTATACACAGACAAAGATCCCCCGTGTAGCCTCTAACAGGGCTGTAGGGGCAAGTGCTGTGAGTCGCGGGTAGCAGCAGCGCCTATAAAGAGACAAAGATCCCCCGTGTAGCCTCTAACAGGGCTGTAGGGGCAAGTGCTGTTAGTAGCGAGTAGCAACAGCACCTATACAAAGACAAAGATCCCCCGTGTAGCCTCTAACAGGGCTGTAGGGGCAAGTGCTGTTAGCGAGCATCAGCTATGAAGGCTGCCAGACACTGTGGCACACGAGGGGGTCGGTGGCCAGCACCACGTACGCCCGGCCGCCTCTGTCTCCCCCCAGTCACGATGTTTACCACACGCCCGCGCCGGGCACTCACCCGAGGCCGAGTCGACTTAGGGGAGGCCCAGGACCGGTTTCAAATAACCGGGATCATAGCGCCAGTGCGAGCGCCAGCGCCACTACCGCCCCCCTTCTCTCCCCACCTCGCCCACGCCGCCCAGAGCCCCCGCCCTCCGTGCCCGCGGTGGACTTCCCGGCCGGCCGACCGAGCGCGGAGAACCTGGAGAGCGTGTGCCGGGCGGGCCGTGGCCTGAACCTGCGGGCGGGCGTGCGGGCGCCCGCCTCGGGCCACGGGTGGCTCGTGCGCCGCCTCGACTCGCTGCGCCGCCTGGAGCGCGCCCTCGAGCGTTGCTGCGAGCGCGGCCACGGGCAGCTGCGGTGCGCCGGCAAAGCGGTGAGCAACCCGGACCGACCCCCGGCGAGTAACCCGGACGGACCCCCGGCTAGTAACCCGGACGGACCCCTGGCTAGTAACCCGAACGGACCCCGGCTAGTAACCCGGACGGACCCCCGGCGAGTAACCCGGACGGACCCCCGGCTAGTAACCCGGACGGACCCCCGGCGAGTAACCCGGACGGACCCCCGGCGAGTAACCCGGACGGACCCCTGGCTAGTAACCCGGACGGACCCCCGGCTAGTAACCCGGACGGACCCCCGGCTAGTAACCCGGACGGACCCCCAGCGAGTAACCCGGACGGACCCCCGGCGAGTAACCCGGACGGACCCCTGGCTAGTAACCCGGACGGACCCCTGGCTAGTAACCCGGACGGACCCCTGGCTAGTAACCCGGACGGACCCCCAGCGAGTAACCCGGACGGACCCCCGGCGAGTAACCCGGACGGACACCTGGCTAGTAACCCGGACGGACCCCCGGCTAGTAACCCGGACGGATCCCTGGCTAGTAACCCGGACGGACCCCCGGCGAGTAACCCGGACGGACCCCCAGCGAGTAACCCGGACAGACCCCTGGCTAGTAACCCAGACGGACCCCCGGCTAGTAACCCGGACGGACCCCCGGCGAGTAACCCGGATGGACCCCCGGCGAGTAACCCGGACGGACCCCCGGCTAGTAACCCGGACGGACCCCCGGCGAGCATCCCGGAGTAGTTAACCACCGACTGGAGTAGTTAACCACCGACTGGAGTAGTTAACCACCGACTCCTCTTTACGATGCTAATTGCCTTACACCACATCTGTCGTTGAGATACCACGTCAAAGGCTTGATTCGTTCCGATAGCAATCGAAAGATTACCCCGTTTCTCCAACCCGAACCCAATGTACTTTATAATATACAAGCAATGGATACAATTGGACAAAGGGGCCGTCCATAAATGACGTCACGTGGGGGGGGGGGGGGGGGGGGGGAGGGTCAGACATTTGTGACGATGCGTGACGAGGGGGGGGGGGAGGGGGTGTTTGAGAAATGTGACGTCACATCAAAATGCGCAACTTTAAATTAATACAGAATTGTTACAACAACACTCCTACAACTTCAGAGTTGCAGCGCCACGTTAAGTACGCAACTACAGTGACGATAGTTTGAAGTGATTTGAAGCGTGTTTTATTTTCAAAATGGAAACATGGTTTTGGGGGGGGGGGGCAGGGGGCAGAGCTTTGTGACGTCATATTTGAGGGGGGGTGTCTGACTTTTTGTGACGCCGTGTGATGATGTGTGGGGGGGGGGGGTCAAATCTTCCGGGGTGTCTGGGGGGGGGGGTTTCTTACCCAGAAAATAATAACAAAAGTTTAAACTAATTTCCTGCCTAAAATATAAAAAAATCACCAACGTATGAGATGGACTTTTTCTTCACTTTTTGACAATAATGTCTCGTAGTTAATTGCTCTGTTTTTACTTTTTTTTTTTACCATGTCTTCTTTAATTGTATGTCATGGCAGAGATTAGGGATTGATAAAGCACAACCATAACCACAATCATATCAACAGAAATCTACGCGTTGATTTATATGAAGACAAGTCCTAGATATTGTGGCCAAGGTTTAGCGAAATAGTTTTTTTTTTTACATAGCATAGCAATTATATATATTTTTTACAGCAATATATTGGGAGGGGGGGGGGGGGGGGACATTTTGAGCATATTTGTGCTGGATGTGTCCCCCCAATATACATTATAATCACGGCCTTGGCGTGAACACATCATTCTCTCCATTTCTCCCATCCCAACCCCACCCACCACCCAACCCCACCACTCCACGTCACTCCGCGTGCCAGTGGGAGCGCTCCATGGACGCGTTCTGCGCGGAGGAGGCGATGGTGAAGGCCCGGCAGCACCGCTGCTGCGTGGAGCACGCCGCCCGCGTGGCCCCGCGCTACGCCTGCTTTGCGGCCGAAGCCCCCGACCCGGCCTACAGCCTCCGCGGGGCCCACGCGGCCAAGGGAAGCCGCGGCCGACACCGCGGTGCCCGCGATGTCGGCCGCGCAGGCAAACGCGGCCGCTGCCGTGGATGCGGCCGCCGCCTCCGCGGAGGCAAGGACACCGCACGGGGGCCTCGGGCATTGGGAGTGGAACTAACTGGGCACCCGGGACCACTCGACCGTAATTAAACTGGAGGGCTAAGTTTCGATTGAAAGCTTTCGTGACTGCAAGGATTCATCTGCTTTGGTTCTTTCGGTAAAGTCACCACCACCACCACCACCACCACCACGTAGAGTGAGAATAAAAACGCAAGCGGCGTTGTGGCCGAAACGTCGTGAGAATGTTATCGTGTTATTTTATTCTTTTATTCTCATTCTACGTGGTGGTGACTTTACCGAAAGAACCAAAGAAGATAGATGGCTAAACCGAAACTAGAAATGACGTAGTACAAATAAAACGTAATAAAATAAAATTCTCACGACGTTTCGGCGACAACACAAGTAGCCTTCCTCGGGTGAAGAGACAGAACTGTCGGGAAGACCGTTCTGCTACTTGTGTTGTGGCCGAAATGTCGTGAGAATTTTATTGTTTTATATTTTTATTATTTTATTGTTTCCCTTCTACGTGGTGACTTTACCGGAAGAACCAAGAAGATAAATCCCTGCAGTCACAAAAGCTTTAAATCGAAAAAAATTAAACTATGAACTAAACTATCAACTTAACTATAAACTAAGCTATCAACTTAACTATCAACTAAGCTATCAACTTAACTATCAACTAAGCTATCAACTTAACTATCAACTAAGCCATCAACTAAGCTATCAACTAAGCTATCAACTAAGCTATCAACTAAGCTATCAACTTAACTATCAACTAAGCTATCAACTTAACTATCAACTAAGCTATCAACTTAACTATCAACTAAGCCATCAACTAAGCTATCAACTAAGCTATCAACTAAGCTATGAACACAACTAAATTTAACTATGAACCCGACAAACAAGGTACTTAAAAAATATTGAAACAATGGACGCAAATAGATACACTAACGAAATTATAAACGCATACTAGAGTCGATAAACCATCAACATTTGTTCCGATAGCATCGAAAGTTACTCCGTTTTTTTCAGGCGAAAAAAATGTATTATGAGACCTCCTTTTGCAGTAGCAAGATATAATAATAGGTTTGTTAACCCTTTTATCTGGCAAAACAAAACTGATACCTTTTTACAAGGGATCATGCTTTGCATTAACCACAATACTTGCGGTCAAAATGCAAACAAAAAGACAACATATCTTGATTTAAAGCTTTCGTGACTGCAGGGATTCATATTCTTGGTTCTTTCGGTAAAGTCCCCACCACGTAGAAGGGAAACAATAAAATAATAAAAGTATAAAACAATACAATTCTCACGACGTTTCGACTGCAACACAAGCAATCATCATCAGGTGTGAAAACCACAGCAAGAAAATTTGAAAAAAGTGGCGTTTTTTTAACGTTAGCACCACGGAGAGCGATTTGGCAGTCATTCAGATGGACGAGTCCATCTGTGTTCGGAAAAGAGGAGGGGGGAGACGCAAATAATGGATGCGGTCTGAAAGCCACCGTAAGCGTGAACAATCAATTAAGACCCGAAATGGTTTATCAAATCCTTCCAATGATTGCTAAGCCAGAATCCATCTTCTCGGTTGAAATTGTCTCTGTGTTTGTATATGTGGATAGCCTCATGGATGAATCTCTCATGGTAGCCAGAGACAACACTGATAATGTATTGGCACTGTACAGTTTTGTTGTCAGATAAAAGGGTAAAAACCTACTATCATATCTTGCTAATTGGCAAAAGAGGTCTCATAATGTAAATGCTTAACCCTGAGCTCTCAATACTCTGATGGTGCGCCTTTTGCCGTCATCTGGTCTAACAGCAACGTGAGACTGAGCTGTAAGAAAAGCTGTCTCTGGTGTGGACCAATGAGTTTCAAGGACAGTGCCAATACATTATCAGTGTTGTCTTTTTGTTTGTACTTTGACCGCAGGTATTGTGGTTAATGCAAGGCATGGTCCCTTGTAAAAAGGTATCAGTTTTATTTTCCAGATAAAAGGGTTAAAAAAAAACTATTATTATTGGTTCTTTTGGTAAAGTCACCACGTAAAAGGGAAACAATTAAATAATAAAAATATAAAACAATAAAATTCTCACGTTTCGACTGCAACACAAGCAATCATCATCATCATCAGGTGTGAAAATCACAGCAAGAATTTTCATTTTTTTATTTTTTTCAAAATTTCTTGCTGTGGTTTTCACACCTGATGATGATTGCTTGTGTTTCAGTCGAAACGTCGTGAGAATTTTATTTTTATATTTTCATTATTTTATTGTTTCCGTTCTACGTGGTGGCGACTTTACCGAAAGAACCAAGAATAATAATTTTATTGTTTTAAATAATTTTATTGTTTTATATTTTTATTATTTTATTGTTTCCCTTCTACGTGGTGGCGACTTTACCGAAAGAACCAAGAATAATATTTTTTATTGTTTTAAATAATTTGATTGTTTTATATTTTCATTATTTTATTGTTTCCCTTCTACGCGGTGGTGACTTTACCGAAAGAACCAAGAATAATTTTCTTTTAAATAATTTTATTGTTTTATATTTTCATTATTTTATTGTTTCCCTTCTACGTGGTGGTGACTTTACCGAAATAACCAAGAATAATAATTTTATTGTTTTAAATAATTTTGTTTTATATTTTCATTATTTTATTGTTTCCCTTCTACGCGGTGGTGACTTTACCGAAAGAACCAAGAATAATAATTTTATTGTTTTAAATAATTTGATTGTTTTATATTTTCATTATTTTATTGTTTCCCTTCTACGCGGTGGTGACTTTACCGAAAGGACCAAGAATATGAATCCCTGCAGTCACGAAAGCTTTAAATCAAAATGTAAACCTATTATTACGAAAAAAAACCGTACTTTATAATATTGAAACAGTGTACACTGTTAGATAAATACACTAAGCACGTTATGAACACCTAATGGAGTAGTTAACCGCCGACTCCTCTTTACGATGCTAATTGCCTTAAACCACATCTGTCGTTGGGATACCACGTCAAAGGCTTGATTCGTTCTGATAGCAATCGAAATATTACCCCGTTTCTCCAACCCGAACCCAATGTACTTTATAATACACAAGCAATGGATACTATTGGACAAAGGGGCCGTCCATAAATGACGTCACGCACCTAGGGGAGGGGTCACACATTTGTGACGATGCGTGACGAGGTGGGTGGGGGGGGTTTGAGAAATGTGACGTCACGTCAAAATGCGCGCAACTTTATAAATAAATACTTAATGAAATTGACTTTTTATTTCGATTTAAAGCTTTCGTGACTGCAATGATTCATCTTCTTTGGTTCTTTCGGTAAAGTCACGTAGAATTAGAATAAAATAATAAATTGATAAAATAAAATAACACAATAATATTCTCACGACGTTTCGGCCACAACACAAGCGGCCTTCATCAGGTGAAGGGACGAGACTGTCTGGTAGGACAACGCTGGAGTGACCAGACAGTCTCGTCCCTTCACCTGATGAAGGCCGCTTGTGTTGTGGCCGAAACGTCGTGAGAATATTATTGTGTTTTATTTTATTTTATCAATTTATTACTTTATTCTCATTCTACGTAGTGACTTTACCGAAAGAACCAAAGAAGATTGACTTTTTAAACAAGTGTTTTCTCCTACAACATCAGAGCGCAGGGCCGCATTAAATACGCGCTACAATGACAATAGTTTAAAGCCATTTGAAGCAAGTTTTATATTTTTTTCTGGGGGGGGGGGGGGGCAGAGCTTTGTGACGTCATATTTGAGGGGGGGGGGCTGACTTTTGTGACGCCGTGTGACGTCATTTATGTACGGCCCCAAAGATAACAATGACGTCATAAACACGTGGCACTGTCGCAATCACCCGTGCCAGCATCTCCCCCGTGCGCGTGCCTCTGTCTGTCTTGCAGGTTCTTAAAGTCACGGTGGATGGGGGCATCCTGAGAGGCGCCATAATCATCATCATCAACATCATCATCAACATGATCAATAACATCATTAACATCATCATCAATTAACATCATGATCAACATCATCATCAACATCATTATCATCATCATGATCATCATCAACATCAACATTATCATCGTCAACATCATTAACATCAACATGGTCATCATCATCATTAACATCATCAATAACATCATTAACATCATCATCAACATCAATTAACATCATCATCAACATCATTAACATCATCAACATGATCTTCATCATCATCATCATCAACATCATCAATAACATCATTAACATCAGCATCAACATGATCATCATTAACATCATCAACATGATCATCATCGTCAACATCATTAACATCAACATGATCATCATCATCAACATCATCAATAACATCATTAACATCATCATTAACATCATTAACATCATCAACACCTTTATTATCATCATCTTCATTATCATTAACATAATTAACGTCATCATCAACGTCGTCATCACCAACGTCATTATCAACATCGTCATCATCAACATCGTCATAATCAACGTCGTCATCATCAACATCGTCATTATCAACGTCGTCATCATCAACATCATCATTATCAACGTCGTCATCATCAACATCGTCATCATCAACATCGTCATCATCAACATCGTCATTATCAACATCGTCATCACCAACGTCATCGCCGGGTTCAGTCTACACACGTAGACATACACACACGTAGACACACACACATGTACACACACACGTAGACACACACACGTAGACACACACACGTAGACACCAACACGCAGACACACACACACGTAGACACACACAACAACCGCCATTCGCCACTAAGTGGCAGTGACGTCACCACGACGCTTGTGCCAGGCCATGTGCACCTTGAGGCTACCACGTGAAGTGTCGAAAGCCCGCTGGCAGGAGGTCACGGGGCAGACCCAGGTGCTACGGGTCGACTGAGATGGCTGGCTGATGCACCACCTGTGCCCCCTACCGTGCCAACCTGCTGTGCTTTAGCCACCCGGCGCTCCGCTCGTTGTTGTGAGCATCGCTCCTCCGCCCTCCGTTGTTGTTGGAGGGCGACTACCTCCAACTGCCCAGTAGCATCCTTCACGAGCCTCCT